AAATGCGGGACAAACAGCAGCGAAAACCGCCGCGCTAGGGTTTAGGGTTTAGGGTTTAGGGTTTACTTCTTCGCCTATAAACCCTTGCTGCACTGCAACGCCATCAACCATCAAGTCCCTAATGGTTTCAGGCTTTAAGAAACACAGGGGGCCCTCGTCGTACGCAGCTGCAAACCCCAAACCCTAAACCCTAAACCCTAAACCCTAAACCCTAAACCCTAAACATTAAACCCTCTAGGTTTGTCAGGCTGCAACACTACGGTGTTCAAAATCCTAAACCCTTGCTAAACCTGAGTTCTAAACAACACCGAAGTCTCCACAGGAGGCCCTAAACCCTAAACCCTAAACCCTAAACCCTAAACCCTCATTCTTGAGCTTACAGGGGTTCGCCAGCAAGCCTCCTTCGCGGCTGTCTAGGAGTTGTTCTTGGCGCATCTGAAAAGCAAACCTCAAACCCTAAACCCTAAACCCTGAACCCTAAACCCTAAACCCTCGGGATTATATGGCCTGGGGCATTAAGGCAGCGCCGCAGCTTTCCGCCACGGCCCAAGGGTTTAGGGTTTAGGGTTTAGGGTTTAGGGTTTGCAGCGCACTGTCCAGCGCGCGCCAGGCGGCGCGCCGCAGACCGCAGTCTAGCCTGTCCTTCGAGACCCTGAACTAGGGTTTAGGGTTTAGGGTTTAGGGTTTACCTCGTGAGCCACTTTGAGTTGAATCTCGCGGACTAAAGCCTCTTTTAAAATCTCTTCGTGCAAATGCAAATCATCGGCACTTCCCTTTTCCATGCTCAGGCCGTCTGCACCAAAACCCTAAACCCTAAACCCTAAACCCTAAACCCTAAACCCTAAGCGCTGAACCCTATACCCTAAACCCTAAACCCTGAAGGAAAATGCGCAGCAAAGCATATAAGCCCGAGGTACTGCTCCAAAGCAAGCAGCGTGTGCCCGTGAAGCGGAACTAGGGTTTAGGGTTTAGGGTTTAGGGTCTAGGGTTTGGGGTGCCTTTTTTTCCTTTTTGGATGACGTTGTTGTAAACCCTCGCTGCTCTTTCTGCTGCACTCGGAATTAGGGTTTTCAGGTTTTCTCTTTTCAGCAAATCGTCGAGGCGTTTTCCAATTGTGTCTGCTTCGTATCTGCAGAAAGAATAAGCTGCTGCTGCTGCTGCTGCTGCTGCTGCTGCTGAGGGTGCTGCTGCTGCTGCTGCTGCCGGTGCTGCGGCGTCCGCAGCAGCATCTGCTGCTGCTGCTGCTGCTGCGCTGCTGCTCGGCGAGTGAGAGTGGCCCCCGCAGCAATGCTGCTGCTGCTGCTGCTGCTGCTGCTGCTGCTCGTATGAAGAGCAGCAGCTCTCACTGGCCCTCATCTCCGTCCCAGTCCCAGACCTAATCCACAAGACAAGGGTTTAGGGTTTAGGGTTTAGGGTTTAGGGTTTAGAGCAGTTACTTGTTCACAGCATCGC